GAAATAAAATAATTTCATTCACAATAGTATCAAAAAAGTAAATAAAATACTTATGGAAAAATTACCAAAAGTGAAAGATCTATGATCTGTCCAATGAAAAGAGTAATATTTTAATAAAATATATTGAAGAAGGTACCAAAAAATGGAAAGATTTTCCATGGACTAGAAGAATTAATATTGCGAAAAATGTTCATACAACCCAAAGCCAAGAATAAAATCAATACGCAATCTATATCAAAATTCTAATAGAAATTTTTACGGAAATAAGACCAAAAACTCCTAAATTGGTATAGAACTGCAAAAGGGCCTGAATAGCTAAACAGTTCTGGGAGAGAAGAACAAAGCCAAAGTTATCCCATATTTTGATTTCAAACTAAGCTACGAACTTATAGTAATTAAATCAATATGGTACTCGCATAAAAATAAACACATAGACCAATGGAACAGAATTGAGAGTCCAGAAATAAACCTCTGCCTATGCGGTCAACTAATACTTGCTAAACGAGCCAAGTATACCCAGTAGCAAAAGGATAGTCTCTTAAATAATTGGAGTTGAGAAAACAGTATAATCACATGCAAAAATATGAAATGGACCCCTATCTTTCATCTCTCACAAATTGTTATTTTTCCTTTTCACTTTTTGGTCCTCCCTCTAAACCCTCTTTCCTTTGACCACCCTTCCCACTTCCCAACTCCTCTTTTCTTCTTTCCATTTCCATAGATAACTCTACTTATTATTTTGTTTTGTGTGTGCCAGAATTTTCATGTTCTCATTTTAAGAGTACAAACTATTTATATCCAACAGAATTATATAAGAAAAGAACACATTTCTAAAGAAAAATCCCCTTCTCCCTCAGAAATCCATTATATGACCTTGATATGTTTTATCTTGTAAATAAGAAGTAGCATTCCTGTTTTCCAGGAAGAGAGCAAAAAAAAAAAAAAAAAGCAAGCGAAATACAGTGAGAGAGAGAGAGAAGAGAGGCTGTAACTTCTAATTAGACACAGTCCATTTAACATGACACCGTAAAAGTGTAAAAAAGAGCATTAAATATGATCACAACTACTCATTTTTAACGTCCTTGAGAACAGGTGGAAGCCGGTGCGGATTACAGGAAGATGGAGAAAAGAGAAACAGATTAACAACAGTAGATGAGCACTTTTTACTCATCTTTCATTAAATAGAAAGTCTTTACTGAAAACTATCATTTTCAAATGACTGTATTAAAGCAGGCACTGTAAAATTCACTGAAGTTAGAATAGAAGCATACTTGGTTTTATTATGCTTTGCATTATTGTGCTTCGCAGATACTGAGATTTTTACAAATTGAAGTTTGTGACAATCCTGCATAGAGTAAGTCTTTCAGTGCCATTTTTCCAATAGCATTTGCTCATTTCATGTCTCTGTGTCACATTTGGTAATTCTTACAATATTTCGAACTTGTTCATTATTATGTTTGTTTGGGTGATCTGTGATCAGTGATCTTTGATGCTACTATTGCAAAAAGACTAAGATTTGCTTAAGGCTCAGATGATGGCTAATATATTTTAGCAATAAAGTATTTTTAACTTAAGATATGTACTTTTTAAAGACATAATCCTATTTCATACTTAATAGACTACAGTATAGTGCAAACATAACTTTTAATGCACTAGAAAATCAAAAAATTAGTATGACTAGCTTTATTGCAATATTTGCTTCATTGAGGTTGTCTGAGGTTGAACCCTCAATATCTGAGATACACTTGTAGTGCCAAGAACACTAGGGAAATGCTAATAAACAATTATACCTGATATAATAACCATATAATTCTACTAAAAATACGAATACACATATTACTATGTGACATCATTTTGTGTTTGGTCCCCTTTATACTAATTTGCCTTCCAAACATGACTGTGATTGACCTGAAAGAAAAGCAAGGACTTGAATTCTGGACCTTCGAGTCTTTTCTTCGTGAAAGTAGAAG